ATGTGATAGGACTGGACAGTTGATCGAATTTTATTTTCAATTATGATTTTGGCTTCCAACAGTAATGAAAATAAGATAATTGAGATAAAATAATTATTGTGCCACATTCTGTTTCACAATGATGCTCTCATTTTGTCCTGTGTTATTAATCGAGTGCCCCCCTTTCCTTTACAGCGCCCCTCCCTTAAAGCCCAAACTCATCTCATTTATTTTAGTCTAATTTATTTTTTTTTATTATTTTAAAATATCATTAGTAGTTTCCACTCGGCTGTGGAAATGTACTATTTATATGGTACTATTTATTTAAATTATTTGTTTTAAAGTATTTTTATATACATCATTAATTTTTTTTACACTTAATTTTAATCTGTTTTTCAGTTAAATTGTATTTAAGGTTGAAGAAAATGCTGTTAAAATGTCAAGTTCAGCATTTTTTCAGTCAATGAATAATTGTGTTAAACAATCCTGATCTCAATATTGACTGCAATAATCGTGATTATGATTTTTGCCATAATTGAGCAGCCCTACTATATGATTAATTATATAATCATGTGAGTGATTGAACTCTATCTGTTAATTTTCCAAAAAGTTCTGCGTAATCCGATGTTTAGGATGTAATCAGAGAGATTCAGAGTGGTTTGGTGTGAAATGGTTCAGATGTCTTTACAGTGGTGGTGATAGGAACCAGGGGTCGCCATGACTACAACACAAATATAGACATTTTATTTACTATCCAGAACCACCAGTGAACCTACACGAGTCTTCTGGGTTTATATGGAATGTTGATGATGGAAAATAGTGGAAAATCAGAAATAATAAGTTTTCTTTGGGGACTATTTTGCCTCACAGCACCCTGCATGAGTTTAAAACACATTTTAGACCAAAATCTTATTAAAACGTCTCGTTTAAGTCCTGAATCGCTCCCATTGCTGGCCTGGTTGCTCTATACAACAGCGCCTGTCAGCGAGCGCTGTGTGGGCGGAGTCTGGAGTGTGAGGTGTTTATCAGGTGAATTAGAGGTTTCAGACTGAGCGCAGGGAGTGATTGGTGATGTTTCTGCTCTGCTCTGTATCTTCTGGCCTGTTCTGATCACAGCAGGAAGCTGCTGATCTGACCTACATCACATTCCGGAATATGAGCTTCTGTTTTTAGAATTACGGTGATTTTTTCACTGAAGCTTTTTCAGGAAACAAGTGATGACATCACTTCCCTGATCAAAGCGCACTCAGGAGTCTGGAGGCAGTATGTGTGTGTGTGTGTGTGTGTGTGTGTGTGTGTGTGTGTGTGTGTGTGTGTGTGTGTGTATGAAGACTCCAGCTCTAAAAATACTCACAACCTACAATTACAGCACACACACACACACACACACACACACACACACACACACACACACACACACACAGAGAGAGAGAGAGCTGAGTGAGCAGAAGCTGCAGAGCTTCATTCGTCTGCGCTGATTAAAGAGCCCAAACTCAACATTCTCCTTTATTTAGTTTTATTCCCCTCTTATAATAGCGCTGTGGGGTCATCAGGGGCATTCAGTCCGTTTACGGCTCCAGGGCGCCGCCCTACAGCTACCACCTGCAAAACGGACCAAATAAAGAAGCAATAAATATCTGTTAATATTAGGAGTGAGCGGTATGATGATATCTTATGGTTATCATGATAAACTATATTACAGTACACTTATCTGAGCATATAGAGTATATCATCAGTACTTAAAGAGCACTGACTGACTACACGTTACAGTACAGAGGGAGCAGAGTTAGGCCGGTTTAACTGGATTTAGTGCAGTTTGTTAAACATTAAATAAAATCTACTGTAGTTGTAGCTTTATTATTATCGTTACAGTATGTTTTATATTATACAGGTACTATTTTGTCTTTTCCACTTGTGAAACTATGCATCACAACTACAGCAGAACACTGTTTGACATCGTAACAATAGCAGAACCCTTTTTTGTGCTATATAGAACCATATACAGCACATTCTCCTTCAGTCTTTGGAGATTAAACCATTTAAGCTATTAATTAGTATTAGTAAGTATTACTCTGGACATCCCTTCACTTTTAATAAGAACCATATTTAACAACTGATGATAAACAGAACTGAAAAAACAAAACAGAACTGGGTGATAAACAGAACAGATCAATATACAGTCAGATGTCAGTGTGTCTCTAGCCCTAGCGAGATGAAGGCGAGTGTGTGTAAAGCCCACAGCGGCTCCTCTAAACGCTGCTGACTGTAGTTTTCCGCCTGAAAGTCGTTTGTCTCGTTTGTGCGTCTCACACTCGAGCTTTAATCTCCGAGCGTCAGACGCTGCTGGACTAAATATTACAGCCGTTCACTCTGTCACTTTAAGCTGAGGAGCTGCGGAGCCTCTCGGCTTGTAGGCCGAGACTGCAACGCCGACTGAAGCAGCCGGCCGAGCGAGGAGCGCCGTAGGTGGAGCACACGGAGAGCTGACAAGTCTCCATACTAGGCTAATGGCTAACGGCTAACCCCAAGAGACTGGCTTTTCCTTCCGCTCTCTTTTCCCCGTCAACTCATTAACTCATTACAGTCTGATGTCACTCCTTTGACCATAAACTGGACTAACTGACCTCTACTACCTAACAACTACCTGAAACACTGTGTAGACTACAGCTAGTATTCACAGTTAGTGTATCTAGAACATCCAGAAGGACTGTTGCTGGTTCCACCCATTTTTAATCAAAACGTCACTTTGCGCCACAAAGCGTCACTTTCACTTCCTGATTATGTTGGTAGTTAATCTAACGTGTAAGGCCTTCAGTCCAGCTCCTGAAGGCCTGACCAATGAGAGAGTAGCTGTATCTGCCTACATACCACAGAGAGAACAGTCCTGATTGGATGATTGTCTGATGGCTGTTTCAGTGTAAGCAGAGTGTTACTACAATAATTACAGAGTTTAAATATAAATCATGATGATTTTATTTAACAAAAAGACATTTTCTTTTAATTAACAGAAGGTGCTAGATCTCCTCTAGTAGGCCTGAGGGTTCCTCACTGTGGTGTTTTCAGTAGGACTGTCCTGTGTGATGGTTCTCCGGAGCTCTAATTGGAGGGTTCTGTGGTTTACTCTGGGTTTATTATAGAGCTGAATGTGTGTTTGTGTGTCAGTAAGTGTCTCGGTGCCGCCTCGTTTACCACTCCAGTCCGGCGCAGTTGGGTTTGGTCAGATGTGAATGAATTACGCAGGTCAGCGTAACCGTGGTAACGTGTGGACGGAGTGATTTGGTGTGTAATGTGATGGAGTGATGATAATCCTCTGTAAGTGATTGAACGAGTGCAGCTCAGTTCATCTTTCTCTCTTTTAATCTCCACTCACTCACACCTCATTACTGCTGAGAGAGAGAGAGAGAGACATAGAGAGAGTGAGAGAGAGAGAGATACACACAGAGATACAGCGTAAGAGAGAGAGAGAGAGAGAGAGATATACACAGAGAGACAGAGTGATACAGAGAGACAGAGGTGCAGACAGTGTGACAGTGTGTCCTCCTCTCTGTCAGACTCTGATAGACTCTGTGCTGTTGTTGTTGGAGAAGCTCAGACGGCGACACCAGCAGCCAAACCCGTCTCAGCTCTTCATCATCTCAAGAACGTTAGGAACCTCAGTAGAACTCCAATAATAACATTCTCACTGTTATTTTCTCAAATATGTTTATGTACTGTTTATTTATTTATTTGCTATGTTTATAATCTTTTCATGTCACTATCCATACATATCACTATATCTTTATGTATAATAATAATAATAATAACAATAATAATAATAATTTTGATTTATATAGCACTTTCATGCTGGTGGCAGCTCAAAGTGCTTTACAGTCAGGAGATAAAGCTGAACAGTAATACAAGAAACTATAAGTACTAAAGTAAAATCATGTGAGTCAATAACAGATGAGATTAAGATAAGGATAAAGACCAGAGAGTCGTAGAGTTTTACTGAAGCTCTGAGTTAAAGAGTCGTAGAGTTTTACTGAAGCTCCGAGTTAAAGAGTCGTAGAGTTTTACTGAAGCTCTGAGTTAAAGAGTCGTAGAGTTTTACTGAAGCTCTGAGTTAAAGAGCCGTAGAGTTTTACTGAAGCTCTGAGTTAAAGAGTCGTAGAGTTTTACTGAAGCTCTGAGTTAAAGAGTCGTAGAGTTTTACTGAAGCTCTGAGTTAAAGAGTCGTAGAGTTTTACTGAAGCTCTGAGTTAAAGAGCCGTAGAGTTTTACTGAAGCTCCGAGTTAAAGAGTCGTAGAGTTTTACTGAAGCTCCGAGTTAAAGAGCCGTAGAGTTTTACTGAAGCTCCGAGTTAAAGAGTCGTAGAGTTTTACTGAAGCTCCGAGTTAAAGAGCCGTAGAGTTTTACTGAAGCTCCGAGTTAAAGAGTCGTAGAGTTTTACTGAAGCTCTGAGTTAAAGAGTCGTAGAGTTTTACTGAAGCTCTGAGTTAAAGAGTCGTAGAGTTTTACTGAAGCTCTGAGTTAAAGAGCCGTAGAGTTTTACTGAAGCTCTGAGTTAAAGAGTCGTAGAGTTTAATGAAGCTCTGAGTTAAAGAGTCGTAGAGTTTTACTGAAGCTCTGAGTTAAAGAGCTGCGTTTTCAGGTGTTTATTAAAAGTGAGCTCTGAGCTCGACTGTCTAATAAAAGCTGAACTGAGCTCCACAGTTTAGAAGCAGAATAACTGAAAGAGTCTCTCCACGTTTTCTGTGTTTTACTGAAGGAATTCAGAAGGTCAGAATCTGCAGATCTGAGATCATAAACAGACGGTCAGGAGCTTTAAGGTCATTTAGAGCTTTAAAAACCAGCAGCAGAGCTTTAAACTCTCTCTAACAGATCCAGTCAGTGCAGTTCTTTAAAACATGATCTGATCTCTCTGTTTAGTTTTTGTACGAGTTGTAGAGGATGGATTGTTTTGTTAGGAAGTCCAGTAAGAGGATCATTACAGTGATTACAGTGTGTATAAATATATAACGTTATTATTCTGTGTGTGCAGGTTCTGGTGCAGATGAAGATGATGAGGAGTAAATAAGGTTTCTGCTGCAGGAACTCTGGGTGAGTGTGTCTTTACAGACTCTCTCTCTCTCTCTCTGTCTCTCTCTGTCTCTGTCTCTCTCTCTCTCTCTCTCTCTCTCTCTCTCTCTCTCTGTCTCTGTCTCTGTCTCTCTCTCTCTCAATTCAATTCAATGTTGCTTTATTGGCATGACAAATATTAACACTTGTATTGCCAAAGCTTTTGTTGGGAGATTAAGAACAAAGTACAACATATACAAAAAGCAGTAACAGATATAAAGCAATAACAGATATAAAGCAATAACAGATATAAAGCAATAACAGATATAGCAGGTGTTATAATAATAATAATAATAATATAATAATAATAATAATAATAATAATAAGCAGAATGTATGTGTTTATAGGTGTGAATCTCTGACATGGTGTGGTCACTCACTGTCCCTCAGAGTGTGGCAGGTGTGAACGTACTGCGCTGCCAGTGTGCAGAACTCTTTATATTCTCCTAGAACGTACGGCAGCTTCTCTGTGGGGGGAAGATTTTCGAATACAGGACATGTTTTGGTGATTTTACTGAAGAATTCTGTTCTAATCTGAGTAAATTTGGTACATTCAGTCAGAAAGTGCAGCTCTGTCTCAGGCCTGTTCTGCTGGCACTGCTGGCACAGTCTCTCTCTCTCTCTCTGTCTCTGTCTCTCTCTCTCTCTCTCTGTCTCTGTCTCTCTCTCTCTCTCTGTCTCTCTCTCTCTCTCTCTCTCTCTCTCTCTGTCTCTGTCTCTCTCTCTCTCTCTGTGGGTGAAACTGCTTACTCAGTGCTTTAGCCATGTGCTGCTACAGGATGTAACACATTAAAGCACTGAATGAGCTGCAGACAGAATGTTTTACAACCTCCACCCATTCAGTCTACAGCAGTTTAGCTCCACCCATTCAGTCTACAGCAGTTTAGCCCCACCCATTCAGCTACAGCAGTTTAGCCCCACCATTCAGTCTACAGCAGTTTAGCTCCACCATTCAGTCTACAGCAGTTTAGCCCCACCATTCAGCCTACAGCAGTTTAGCCCCACCATTCAGTCTACAGCAGTTTAGCTCCACCATTCAGTCTACAGCAGTTTAGCCTCACCATTCAGTCTACAGCAGTTTAGCCCCACCATTCAGTCTACAGCAGTTTAGCTCCACCATTCAGCCTACAGCAGTTTAGCCACACCATTCGGTCTACAGCAGTTTAGCCCCACCCATTCAGTCTACAGCAGTTTAGCCCCACCATTCAGCTACAGCAGTTTAGCCCCACCATTCAGTCTACAGCAGTTTAGCTCCACCCATTCAGTCTACAGCAGTTTAGCCCCACCATTCAGTCTACAGCAGTTTAGCCCCACCATTCAGTCTACAGCAGTTTAGCTCCGCCCATTCAGTCTACAGCAGTTTAGCCCCACCATTCAGTCTACAGCAGTTTAGCTCCACCATTCAGTCTACAGCAGTTTAGCCCCACCATTCAGTCTACAGCAGTTTAGCTCCACCATTCAGTCTACAGCAGTTTAGCCCCACCATTCAGCTACAGCAGTTTAGCCCCACCATTCAGCTCCACCCATTCAGCCTACAGCAGTTTAGCTCCACCATTCAGTCTACAGCAGTTTAGCTCCACCCATTCAGTCTACAGCAGTTTAGCCCCACCATTCAGTCTACAGCAGTTTAGCCCCACCATTCAGTCTACAGCAGTTTAGCCCCACCATTCAGTCTACAGCAGTTTAGCCCCACCATTCAGTCTACAGCAGTTTAGCTCCACCATTCAGTCTACAGCAGTTTAGCCCCACCATTCAGCTACAGCAGTTTAGCCCCACCATTCAGCTACAGCAGTTTAGCCCCACCATTCAGTCTACAGCAGTTTAGCCCCACCATTCAGTCTACAGCAGTTTAGCCCCACCATTCAGTCTACAGCAGTTTAGCCCAACCATTCAGCTACAGCAGTGAGCAATGTTGGTGTTGATAAACGAGTGAACGGGCGACAGGCGGTTACAGACAGGTGGGTTAGCTTGCTAGCTTTAGCTTGCTAAGCTACTCTGACTCGGAAATTGTTCTGTGTGGGCGGGGCAAGAGATGCAGCCCTGTGATTGGTCAGGGGAATGCTTATGGAAGGGTTACCTAACAGTAACCTAACTCAGATTTAGGTTCTCTGGACCTTAAGTACAGTGAGATAATTCCACATATTAAAATGAGTAAAAACAAGTAAAAATGTACTGAAATAAGTTAAAGCGCCCGTGACATGGAAAACTGCTTTTATTGAAATAAAAGAGATGTGTGTCGAATGAAAACACTGTTAAAGTGACTGAAGTTATAAGGAGTGTTTCAGCTTGTGTTTTTTGAATGAGGCACAAAAGAAGACAGCCAATCAGAATGGGGCTCATTTACATAAAGACACGGTAACAGGCAGAGCCTGTCTAATTATAAGGGGTCGTGTAAAAATGAATGATGACTGCTTTGGTATCTAAACCCGCACAAACAGCAGAAATAAAGAAGAATAGAGGATATAGGCCCTTTAAATAGTTTCATAATATTATTATAACAGTGTTATTAGACACATCGACTAGATTTAAAATGATTCCACTCTCCAGGATACCATTTTTCAGGGTAGACAGACATTATTAATATAATGAATTAATATAATTAAATATAAATATATTATTATATTAAATTAATATAATAATGTGCATCGGGGGGCCGCGTTCCTGTGTTTTACCCCGAGCCTGTGTGTGTGTGTGTTTGAGATCTTTCCACTGAGCATATATATGTGTGTGTGTGTGTGTGTGTGTGTGTGTGTGTGTGTGTGTGTGTGTGTAAATGTCTCATTCCCACTTCACAAACCCACACACACCCACAACTTTCTGTTTCTTATTCTTCATTTCTTTCTTCCTTTCTTTCTGTAATTAGTTTTTTCATCTTTCTCACCTTCGCTCTCTCTGCACCTCTCTCTGTCTTTCTCTGTGTGTTTCTTTGTTGAGTTTAACTCTATTAAACATGTTTAAAGTGTCCATATCCCACATTCCTCTCATATTTTTCTTTTGCCACTGAGCTCCACTTATAATGTTTGTGTGGTTTTATGCACTAAAACAGCCATAATTCATTCCTACATGATCATTTCCAAACTCTCTTTATCCCTTACAGTTAAACAGGCTGTTTCTGCTACTGTGCCTTTAAGATGGATATATGTAAATGAGCTCTGTTCTCTATGGCTGCCCTGTATTGAGCCTCATTCAAAGAGTGGTCCAGGCTGCAATACTCCTTATGATATATACTAAGGGATAATGGTGTAAATATGGTGTATATGTGGTGTATATTGAGGGGTAATGATGTATATGTGGTGTATATTGAGGGGTAATGGTGTATATGTGGTGTATATTGAGGGGTAATGATGTATATGTGGTGTATATTGAGGGGTAATGGTGTATATGTGGTGTATATTGAGGGGTAATGGTGTAAATATGGTGTATATGTGGTGTATATTGAGGGGTAATGATGTATATGTGGTGTATATTGAGGGGTAATGGTGTATATGTGGTGTATATTGAGGGGTAATGATGTATATGTGGTGTATATTGAGGGGTAATGGTGTATATGTGGTGTATATTGAGGGGTAATGGAGTATATGTGGTGTATACTGAGGGGTAATGATGTATATGTGGTGTATATTGAGGGGTAATGGTGTATATGTGGTGTATACTGAGGGGTAATGATGTATATGTGGTGTATATTGAGGGGTAATGGTGTATATGTGGTGTATACTGAGGGGTAATGATGTATATGTGGTGTATATTGAGGGGTAATGGTGTATATGTGGTGTATACTGAGGGGTAATGATGTATATGTGGTGTATATTGAGGGGTAATGGTGTATATCTGGTGTATATTGAGGGGTAATGGTGTATATGTGGTGTATATTGAGGGGTAATGGTGTATATGTGGTGTATATTGAGGGGTAATGGTGTATATGTGGTGTATATTGAGGGGTAATGGTGTATATGTGGTGTATATTGAGGGGTAATGGTGTATATGTGGTGTATACTGAGGGGTAATGATGTATATGTGGTGTATATTGAGGGATAATGGTGTATATGTGGTGTATACTGAGGGATAATGGTGTATATGTGGTGTATATTGAGGGATAATGGTGTATATGTGGTGTATATTGAGGGGTAATGGTGTATATGTGGTGTATATTGAGGGGTAATGGTGTATATGTGGTGTATATTGAGGGGTAATGGTGTATATGTGGTGTATACTGAGGGGTAATGGTGTATATGTGGTGTATATTGAGGGATAATGGTGTATATGTGGTGTATACTGAGGGATAATGGTGTATATGTGGTGTATACTGAGGGATAATGGTGTATATGTGGTGTATATTGAGGGGTAATGGTGTATATGTGGTGTATATTGAGGGATAATGGTGTATATGTGGTGTATACTGAGGGATAATGGTGTATATGTGGTGTATATTGAGGGATAATGGTGTATATGTGGTGTATATTGAGGGATAATGGTGTATATGTGGTGTATATTGAGGGATAATGGTGTATATGTGGTGTATACTGAGGGATAATGGTGTATATGTGGTGTATATTGAGGGGTAATGGTGTATATGTGGTGTATACTGAGGGGTAATGATGTATATGTGGTGTATATTGAGGGGTAATGGTGTATATCTGGTGTATATTGAGGGGTAATGATGTATATGTGGTGTATATTGAGGGGTAATGGTGTATATGTGGTGTATATTGAGGGGTAATGGTGTATATGTGGTGTATATTGAGGGGTAATGGTGTATATGTGGTGTATACTGAGGGATAATGGTGTATATGTGGTGTATATTGAGGGGTAATGGTGTATATGTGGTGTATATTGAGGGGTAATGGTGTATATGTGGTGTATACTGAGGGGTAATGGTGTATATGTGGTGTATATTGAGGGATAATGGTGTATATGTGGTGTATATTGAGGGGTAATGGTGTATATGTGGTGTATATTGAGGGGTAATGGTGTATATGTGGTGTA